ACTAATTTGACATTGTCATTATCTTCATTACAAAATAGTGTTATATAACTGGCACTCTAACATGTAAATTGATACATTAGGAACCAGTTCCATCTACACAAAATTACTGTGATGATTCTGTAGAATGTAGAAAAAGAAAATCTAATCATTACCTTCAGTGATAGCATTTATGACTAATGTATTGAGTTGTGTTTGGAGATACTCCTAATGCCCCTGGCCTTGAAATCTGAAAGATTTACTTAAGAATCAAACTGCTCACACTCATCTCCTTTTCTCTATTAGATTCTGTTGCTCATTTTTTTTTTTTTTTTTTAAATGTTTTCTTTGGAAAGATGCTTTAGTTTTTATTAACCTAAGGAGTAACTCACTTTCAATTTTCCCCCTTTTAGGTTAATTTCTTTTATTGGGTATATGCTCTTTTCCTTAGGTACAGTATAAATAAATGAACTGTAGTTGTTAAAAAAATCAGAATGTATTTACTATTGGAATTCTTTCCCGCTATGTTGAATACTAGCAGACTAGCTTTGAATGGTTCTCACTTCTGTTGTTGTTTTTTTAAGAATAATTATCACTTTGGTACAAGGAATTTTTAGGTCTTCAACTTCATTTGTCCTTGGTTACCCCTGGGGTTGAATTGGAAAAGGTTCAGAGTATTTAAAAGAATGGTTTTGTTGTCGGTGGGACAGTAGAATGGAAAACTCTAAATTAACCACTAGCATTTGGAAATTGTCATGCAAGAAAAAGGAGACTCTACTGTGAATCACTTGTAGATCTCTTGAAAATTGCAGTGGGCCAGTCCTTGGATCCACTCTGCTATACATGGCAAGCCTACCAATTCCATGCTGTTCTTCATTCAACTAGAGGTCTTGCACACGGTTTCTGTGTTTTTTAAATCTATTGCTAGAGAGTTTTTGGTTATTTCTGCCAATTACAAAAGCTTTTACAGCTTTTTAAATGGACTTTCTTGGTCCTTAGGCTTCCTAGATCACCCATGGTGGCATTATGTTCATTGTAGCTTACAGTCAAGTCTTATTTTTTAAAAATGTATTGGTATTGTAATGTAATTTTTTAATTGAAAAATAGAATGTTAGGGCTAAATGATACCTTAGAAATCATATCTTCTGTCTCTTCAGTTGTATTATAAATCACTTTGCTATTAAAGGACCATTAGATTGCATTTATTTTAAGACCACAGGGTTAGAAGCATTGATTGGCTTCAAAGATAATTCTAGTCCCACACTTTGTGATAGGTGAAATGTGCTCATAATATAATTTTGTCTTTATTTCATTAGTGATGCCTAACTTGCCCTTCCTGTTTACCACACCGAGATTTCATTTTATCCCTATTTCACCTGGAATCCTCACATGCACTCTTGTATAGAATTATTGCTCTGTTTATTACTAAGTGGAATCCATGTTGAATTTTAGCAGGTTTCTTCCCCCTCCATCTGTGTCTTTGATGGTAGCTGGGTTTACTGCCACTCACTTATTAGTGCCCTGGGTCTTAACAACCTTATTCAAACAAAACATCTTAAATGGAGGCATTAAACAGGTCACAACAATGAGCCATTTTGTAACTTTAGGTGCAATAAAATGGGTATGTTGTGTTTTGGAATATAAGACCTCTGAGTACAGCTATTCATTTTCTTCATCTATAAAACATTTTAGAATAACAGCCTACATCTGTTTGGGGGTATAAAATTCCACGTTTTGAAGAAACATCACTGTTATGTAACTTCAAGGCAGACGTGGGGAGGGACCTTGCTTTCTGACGGGCCCGCGTTCTGTAGACGTTGGGAATAGTGTTTGTTTTAGCTATGGAGCTGTATTTGCTGGCAGCCCATCTTTCACATGTGTGGAACACATTTTCATTATTGTTTGTTCATATTGTAAATGACAACAAGTGTGTGATACAATTTTGACTTGAAGAATATTTGAAAAATTTTCACACAGCAGGAATTTATGAGGGATATTTCACTACTAGAAGTCAGAAGCAAATTTAATTATTTAGGCATTTATAGCATATTTAATTACTTTAGACTGTCAATCTTGTTTTAGGGAGTAAAGCTGGGGTTTACTGTCGGCCCTCTTTTTAAAATAAGTACCCAGTGGAATAGTACAGCCAACCGTTCCAAATGTGTGATTTTAAAATTATTTCTTTAAACTGAAGGAACAGTTCAATGAGTAACTTTCAGTAGAGGAAATGGGCAAAATGTTTAATGATAGAATTCAAAATCTAAAGTATTAAGTACCAAATAAGTGTAGATAACACTCAATGCAATTTGTAGGTGATTTTAATTGAGAAGTGAATGATGCTAACGTGGATCGTTAGAGTGAATTTTAAAGCTTTTTTCGTCTTATAAATGTGAAATATTTATCTTCCTACTAATCCATAATCATACTACCTGTCTTTTGGGGCATATTTTATTACATATTATAGAGTTTAAAAAATTTAGAAAAGCTTTTAGAAACCTATTACACAGTCAAGTTATTGTTTTGATAATTAATTGGAAATATAACACTTGAGTTTCAGAATGGATGGTGTCAGATGCTTTTATGTGTTTGTGACAATAAAAAACTAAATTTAACTACTGTTAGGGAAATTTGACATTCAGGGTGGGCTGGCTGCCTGTTTATGATGATAACAAACTTCTCTGAGATTCTAGCTTGTCAAATTAGCCCAGGCTGTTGACATTGATCTTTTTTCTCATTGACATTTCCTTCCTGAATGGTAGACAGATTTTCTTTCTGTGGTCACTGTCTGTCAAATTTGGGGCCATCATTTGCTGTAGCTGAGTAAGACAGATGATGCTAATCTTTAAATTTCTGATTAAATATAAATATTTAAGAAATAACAATGCCAGGCCAAGGCGGGTGGATCACCTGAGGTCAGGAGTTCGAGACCAGCCTGGCCAACATGGTGAAACCCCGTCTCTACTAAAAATACAAAAATTAGCCAGGTGTGGTGGCACATGCCTGTAATCCCAGCTACTTGGGAGGCTGAGGCAGGAGAATTGCTTGAGCCTGGGAGACGGAGGTTGTAGTTAGCTGAGATCGTGCCACTGTGCTCTAGCCTGACGGACAGAGCAAGACTGTCTCAAAAAAACAAAGAAAGAAAGAAAGAATGCCCTCAATTCACGTGAAGGTAAATACCCATTAATTCCTCTGAAACTGGGACATTACAGCCACGCCTACCCACCCACATGTAGTGATAGTGATAATGTTCAAAGTCCACATTTACTTTTCCCTTGCAGCTGGGCTGCCTGTGCAATGCCAGTACTGGGCCCATGGCGTGTGCGTGCCCATGGGCATCACTACCACCAGCACTGGTCCCCTGGGCTGTGACTGGACATTACTTCAGCTGCTGCTTGGGGTCCACTGGTGTTAAGACATTTTTATCTTAGGAAATATGACATGGGTGTCTTAAGTTTGAATTTCAGAAAATTAATAACAGATTGTACTGTGGGTGAGTTTATATGCAGATAATTTAGATGTCTCCTGGGGATAGTGGTAGTTAGACAAAACTCTAGAGTCAGATTGTCTGGGCTTCTTACCTCCTAACTGCCTTTAGGCAAGTTACACAGCGTCTTTGAACCTCATTCTCGTCAACTATAAAATGAAGGAAGTAATACTACTTAACTGTCTCAGCATGCGTTATGAGGATTCAGTGAAATGAAGCTTACAGAGTGCTTATTTGCAGATATCTGGCACATGAGAAGTGTTGGTGGTTCTAGCCCTTACTGTTAGACAGCTCATTGTAAATACCTAACTCTAAGTGTGGCGATTCTCTTGACCGCTCATACTTCATTACTACAGATGACTCCCCTCCCCAGCTGTGCCTGGGACTTGATCAGCGCTCAGACCCACGTCCCGCTGTGTTTTGTTAGAACCTCTCCAGTCCCCCAGCATTGACTGACTTGGTGATCCTTCCTTGAGGGGTGTGGGCTTCCCACTCCCACACTGGCTGCTCCGTTCCTGGAGTCCTGTTTCTCAAGTTTGACTCTTGTAGGTAGCTGTGTCTGCTTCCTCTTTCTTCCCTCCACCTACCCTTGCCCTCCAGCCTCCTCCCTCCTCTTTTCTCCCTCTTCTTTCCTTCTCTGCCCTCTGTTTTCTGTCTTCTGTGCTCCTCCTCTCTGCCCCCGCACCCTCTACCTCCCTGCTTTTGTTCCCCTTTCCTGCTTCCTTTTTTACCCGCCTCTTTTCCTCTCTCCACTTTTTCCTTTTCTTCCACTCCTTTCTCTCTCCCCTTCTCTTCCTGCTCCCTCTTTCCTCTCTGTTGTCTCCTCATTCCCCTAACACTTTTCCCCCTACCTTACCTTTCTTCTCTCTCCTCTGGGTTTCTCCTTTAAATCCTAACACTTTGCCTGCTAAGGAGTAGACAGCCTTGGCTCTTAAGCACAGAAATGTCAAGTCCTAAAGTGTTTTCATTATGCTGGGAAATATTTATTTTGTCATTTCAGTAGCCAGACTGTTGTGCTTCTCTTTCCATTTCAAAGGGGCTTCACAACATCATTTTATGTCCCTTGGGCTCAAAACTTAGAAGATCACCAGGCTCAGTGGCTCACGCCTGTAATCCCAGCATTTTTGGAGGCCAAGTCAGGTGGATTGCTTGAGCCCACGAGTTTGAGAACAACCTGGGAAACATGGTGAAACCCCACCTCTAAAGAAAACATACAAATATTAGCTGAGTGTGGTGGCGTGTGCTTGTAGTCCCAGCTACTCTGATGGCTGAGGTGGAAAAATCTCGTGAGCCTGGGAGGTCGAGGGTGGTGATCTGTCGGCCTAAGTGACAGAGCGAGACTTCATCTCAGCAAAAAATGAAAATCCACAGGCCACAGTTTTAACTCTTTTTCTAAACATTATGTCTACTATAACTGTGAATTTGTTTGATATTAGCTTTGTTGTAAAGTTGAAGTAATAATTACAGGCTCGTATAGTCATACAGGCAAACTTGGCTCTTTTTTGCCTAATTTATTTGATTTTTTTTTTTCTCTCTTCAGATTCCTTTTTCTCTGGTCCAGTTTCCCTTATGGGAGTCCTTAAAAGTAAGTTTCTCAATCTTCACATAAAATTTATCTCTAATTATAACATACCTAATAGTTTGAGTGTGAAAGAGTAGAACATAATGTTGACTAGAAGTTCAGCAACCGAAACCTATTAGCAGTTGAAAATACATTTTATGTGTGATTTACATGCAATTTCAGCCTTTCAAACTTGTTCAGGTGGCTGTGCTCCTAGGAAATAGGCATAGCAGGTGGCACTGAAATCCATAGATAATAAAAAAAACTTAGCTTTACTTTTTTCCATATTGCCATTCTTTCTCCACTGTTAAATTTCATTTTGCTTTGGGTGTGTGTGTGTGTTTAGAAGTCAAAGACTAACAGTGAGGGTAAATGGGAGAGGAAAAATGCAAAACCTTGAATACTTAAAGACTAAGAAGGGCCAGCTCCCCCAGCACCCTATATAAGGACCACTCGGATGGGGAGCAGCAGGGTCTCAGGGCTCTGACTGTCCCTTCCATCTTGGTTGCTCACTCCAGCCAGGACTAGGAGCCTCCAGAGGGAAAGAGCAGAGTGTGGTGAGTTGTGAGACAACCTTGGGGAAGGTCAGTGAGCTATTTATAAAAAACAACATGTTTTAACCATTAAGGACATGGACATGGGCAAGTATTTCATGAGGAAAACATCAAAAGCAATTGCAACAAAAGCCAAAATTGACAAGTGGGATCTAATTAAACTAAAGAGCTTCTGCACAGTGAAAGAAACTATCGTCAGAGCGTTCAGACTGTCTACAGAACGGGAGGAAATTTTTACAACCTATTCATCTGACAAAGGTCTAATATCCAGAGTCCACAAGTAACTTAAACGAATTAAAAGAAAAAAACAATCCCATTAAAAAGTGAGCAGAGGATATGAACAGACACTTCTCAAGACTTTCATGCAGCCAACAAATACATGAGAAAAAGCTCAACATCACTGATTATTAGAGAAATGCAAATCAAAACCACAGTGAGATACCATCTCACGCCAGTCACAATGGTGATTATTAAAAAGTCAAGAAACAACAGATGCTGATGAAGCTTGGGAGAAAAGGGAACACTTTTACTTTTGTTGGTGGGAATGTAAATTAGTTCAACCGTTGTAGAAGACAGTGTGGCGATTTCTCAAAGACCTAGAACCAGAAATACCATTTGGCTCAGCAATCCCATTACTGGGTATATACCCAAAGGAATATAAATCATTCTGTGATAAAGATACATACATGCGTATGTTCATTTCAGCACTATTTATAATAACAAATACATGGAATCAACCCAAATGCCCATCAGTGATAGACTGCATAAAGAAAATGTGGTACATACGCCCCATGGAGTACTATGCAGTCATAAAAAAGGAATGAGATCGTGTCCTTTGCAGGGACATGGATGGAGCTGGAAGCCATTATCCTCAGCAAACTAATGCAGAAACAGAAAAAAAAAACAACACTGCGTCTTCTCACTTGTAAGTGGGAGCTGAACAAGGAGAACACATGGACACAGGGAGAAGAACAACACACAATGACAGGGGCCTGGGAGGGAGAAGGAGAGCATCAGGAAAAATAGCTAATGCGTGCTGGGCTTAATACTTAGGTGATGGGTTGATACATGCAGCAAACCACCATGGCACACATTTACCTGTGTAACAAACGTGCACATCCTGCACACATACCCCGGAACTTGAAAAACAACAACAACAACAAAACACATTTTAAAAAGCCTATATTCAAAACATGCAGAGGCGTTGCATTGGTTTTTCACCTTCTGGTGCAGTGATACTGAAAACTGTGGGCCGTGATATGAATTGTGTGGGTCTTTGTCAGCATTTTAAAGACAATAATCAAGAAGAATATAGTAGAGGGCATCTTAAATGGTAAGAGTAAGTCTTATTTTGTAAGACCTCAGTGTTATGTATGCATGCACACACACATGTATCTGTACTGGGTTGCAATGTAAAATGTATTTCTCGCTGTGGATAATGGTCCAGAAACTTTGAAAGCCCTTGTTCTAGTGAAGATGGTTCATAAATGACCAGGCTATAAAATAATCTAGGTAGGCATTAGCTAATACAAAAATAAAGAAATTACTCTCACAATTTTATAGATTTACTAGTCATGGAGTGCTCATACAAAATGCCTTTTGAGGAGTATCATAAAAATTATTTGGACTTAGAAATAAATTGTTGAGGTTATATACTAAATGATACTAAATTGAGAAAAAACAGTCATTAACAAAGTAAATTATGGTATGTTAAGTATTGAGAAGTATTTCTTATAAGTGATCTCATTTTAAGGAGGAGTATTGCTCATTTAATATAGTTTTTTGGCTCTTTTGTTGTTTTGTTTGTTTTACCGTTTCCTATGAGGTGCGTGGTGAAAATAGAGTTCTCGGGCAGTGTTTCAGGTCATGATGTAACAGCTATCCAATGAGAAGGTCACATTCCATTAGCATAACAGCTCTCCTTTTTAGTGTGTGACAAAAGAACAATGAAGCCAACAGCTGTCCAGCAAACAAGACTTACTTTATTAGTGTCTCAATAACCAGCATTCACACAGCTTCTGCAGACTCTAACATCCTTATGCCCTAACTCTGCAAAGGAATGTTTCGAGGCCTAAAGAAGGAAAAAGCATAGTGTTTATTTCTTTTCAATATTAAGGACATTTGTAGAATTCTAGCTAGTTAAGAAATGTCCAGAATTTTTCAGAGTAATCATAGATGACAATGCTGTGATTTAAAAATTTTCTTTGAGCAAATGTTAAGACGCTGCAGTTTTTTTTTCTATCAAGTCAGGTTTCTTGAGGAATACTTTGCATATGATAAAATTCACCCTTTATACATGTACATTTTTATGAGTTTCAGTAAATGTTTATAACCACCACTATAACCAAAATAGAGTATTTCCATCAACCCAGAAAGTTCCCTCATGCCGTGTTGTAGTCAGTGCCCTTCCTCTACCCACAGCCCCTGTGAGCCACTGTTCTGTAGTCTTCTGTTTTCCAGAACATCGTAGAAATAGATACAGGGTACTATTATACCATCTTATGCTTTGCTTTTTTTGCTTAATGTAATATTTTTGAGATTCTTTCATGTTGTTGCTTGTACTGGTAGTTTGTTTTATTTTACTTTGTAGTATTCCATATGTGTATAGATATGCTACAATTTATTCACTAGTTTATACACATTTGACTTGTTTTCCAGTTTTTGATTATTATAAATAAAGCTGTTGTAAATATTTGCATAGGTTTTTACTTCTCTAGGGTAAGAGGCCAGGAGTAGCATCCCTGGGTCATACAGAAGGTATATGTTTAATTTTTTAAGAAACAAACTGTTAAGGTGTTTTCCAAAGTGGCTGTACCAGTTTGCATTCCTACCAACAGTGTATGAGAGTTCTAGTTGCCCTACATCCATGTCATTTCTCGTTACTATTAGATTAAAATTTTTTTTCCAGCCATTCTAGTACTTGTGAATGTATCTCATTGGGGTTTTAATTTCTAGTTCCTTCATGACTAAATAATGTTGAGCATCTTTTCATATAATACTGTTTTTTAAACATCTGAATGTACAATCACAATACTTTTGTAGAAGTAGACAATTTTTGGAGCTTTTTTATTTTTGTGTTAACAATTTTATCTGTTTAAATTTGAGTTTGCAGTTATAGAAGGAGATTATATTATATGAAAGGATTTCTCCACTGTGTTTATTTGTGTTTATGTGAGAATACCATTCAGGGAAATTTTTCTTAGCAAAGACTAGCAGATTGCATACATATGGCACTGCAGGGAGTAAGGGGCTGGAGGTGGTAGCCACTGTTATCTTAAATTCAACTCTGTCTAAAATAAAAGTCATCATCTTTCTTATAAAATCATGTCTTCCCACTGTCTCCCGTTTCTGTTAATCAGTATTCTCCTGGCCACCTATTCTCAAGTCTCCGATTAAAATTTGATTCCCTTGTTTCTCTTTCTCCATATCACATTACTCAACAAATTTTGTTGACTTGACTGTTGGGAATTTGTGGCCACATTTCACCTGATTCTTAGTGCCTTACGCTTGCCCACATCCTGGTAGGTTCCCTTCTTTCTCATCCATTCTACATTTTGGATGTGTCTGATCTTCCTTAAACTTCTCTTTCAGTAACACTTAGGTTCTCAGGAACATATAACTTTCTAAAACTCTAAAACGTGAAGTTCTTGGAATTCAGGGTTCTCCACACTGTGTCCTTAGCTGGTTTTTTGAGCTTCTACCCTATACTGTGTGTGTGTGTGTGTGTGTGTGTGTGTGTGTGTGTGTGTGTGTGTGTATGTACAAAATTCTTTCCCTCCAGCCAGAATAGCCTCCTTACTGCCTCTGAATATGTTCTCCCCTTCCTTGTTCTCTGACTCCTTTCTGAAGTATGCTTCCAAGGATCTAAAAGAGATGCCGCATTCAAAGCTCAGTTCAGTGTTTGATCTCCTGCTTGAAGTCTTCTAATTGAGGCCTTGAAGAGTTGCCCTTACCACAGATTTGTCTGTGTCACTGACTCATATTTAATCACCCACCATATTGTGTTTAAAACATCTTAACAGTGTTCGGATAAGGCCTTAACCCCTTCAATTTACAAATAAATGATACCTGCTGTCATTGCACCTCTGGTACCTGTCTGCTCTGAGCTGGACATGATTGCATTTCACAAAAATGCAAAGATGAATAAGAAATGGCTTAATGCCCTTGAGGAGCTGAGAGTCGATCAGAGCAGCACACAACTCGCTGATACCTTTAATGTGTCTCTAAGTGCAGAATACTCGCTACCCAAATCCTGTTACTATGCTACATCATTTCCTTTGTTTTTCTTTTCTTTATTATACTTTATGCTTACAAAAGCGTATTTTAGATGAAAGAGGACAAGATGCCATAAAGAGATGGGGAAGCAAAAGCAGTAGTTTATCATATCCAAAGTCTTAGAGAAGATAATTTTCCTTGAAGATTGATATTTACTTTGGAACTTTCTGGCAGCCCAACAAGAAGAGAAGCATG